GGACAGTGAATAAGGAAGACCGTAGAAGAATTGATGCTTTTGAGTTATGGTGTTGGAGGAGAATATTGAAAGTACCATGGGCTGCCAAAAGAACCAATAGATCTGTTTTGGAAGAAGTGCAGCCAGAGTGCTCCTTGGAGGCCAGGATGTCCACACTTCGTCTGTCATACTTCAGATATATTGTTAGGAGGGACCAGTCACTGGAGAAGGATATCATGTTTGGTAAGGTGGAGGGACAGAGAAAAAGAGGAAGACCCCCAACGAGGTGGATTGGCTAGGTGGCGGCATCGATGGACTCAAACATGGCAACAGTAGTGAGATTGGCCCAGGATCGGGCAGTGTTTCAGTCTGCTGTGCATAGGGTCGCTATGAGTTGGTGCTGAGTCGATGGCACCTAACAACAACAACAAGTATACAGTGACACAATAGATGACAGCCTAGGAAATCCTATGGGGCAGTTCTACTCTGTCACATGGGGGCAATATGAGCCAGAGCCAAAAAAACAACACAAGGGCACCTGACAACCACCACCACCACCTCATAGGGCAACTGAGGATTACCTAAAGTGTAAAGAGCTAAGTACAAGGCCTGGCAGAGAGCAGATATTCTCATTGTTATTTCTACCTGAGATCTCTAACAGAGGTAAAGGGGAAAGGAATACACAGAACCGTTCTAATAGCAAATCTGAGGCTCCCTGGCGGTTCAGTGATTTAGTGCCTGAGCGCTAACTGAGAGGTTAGAAATTTGAAGCCACCTGCCTCACCGAGGGACAAGGGTGTGGGAGTCTGGTGCTGCAGAGTTCAGCCTTAGAAACCCTTTGGGGCAGTTCTACTCTCTACTAGAGGGTCTGGTGGCATGTTGGGTTAAGCATTTGACTGCTAAACTGAAGGGTTTGCAGTTCAAACCAACTCTTCCCAAGGGGAACGATGAGGCTGTCTGCTTCTGTAAAGATATACAATCTTGCAGACTTAAAACAGTTCGGTGTGACCCATGGGTTTGCCGATGTGTTGAAATTGACGGGACAGGAAAGCATAATAAATGTCAAATTTAATTCTTCCTACTATTTTACAAAGCGTACTTAAAACCACCTGTGTGTTAATGCTGTAACAAAACCTCCTGAAATGGGACCTAGGTGTGTGTGTGTGTGTGCACTGTGTAGATTTAAGGGCTCTCTCTCCACTGCTCCCCTGAAACTATGTTCCTCTTGGCCACTACAGGGGACTTCACCATCCTTTTTCTCCCAAACTACTTCCCAACCTCCGAGAACTTTCTCTACCTTTGGATTCCAAGATACGGCTTTGCTTTGGTTTTCTTCTGCCTCTGTGAACATTTATTTCGTCTTGGTCCTGTTGGAAGGTTTCCCCTCCCTCCAGCACCTCTGGAACTCTAGGATTGCTCAAGTTCATCCCTACTGCTTACCTCGTTTCAAAGTTTTTCCAATATGCTCTCCCATTGGCACCTGGCTGATTCTGACTCATTAAGACCTGTGCCACAAAGTAAAACTACTGTAGGATCAGCACTGGACTGTGGACCACGAGGCCAGTGGTTCAAACCCACTAGCTGCTTCTTGGAAACGCCATACAGGGCCACTATGCAGCGGAACCAATTCAATGGCATTTAACAACAATCTTAACAAAAGCAGATGGTCAGCTTTTCTTCCATGGTGCTGTTGGGTGGATTCAAACCCGTAGTTGAGGGCACAGCGTTTGCACCACCCTGAAGCTCCAATGTTGTTGTTGTCGGTTCCAACTCACAGCTACCCTGAATGGGATTTTCAACAAACAGCTGGTGAGTTTGAACCACCAACTTGTTTCAAACTGACCTTGCAGCCCAGTGCTTTATCCTGAAGGCAACACTATTTTATTTTATACCATTGCCACCTTTTGCCTGATCCACTGTGACCGTCTAACTGGTCTCCTAGTTCCCAGTATCTCCTGACTCTAGTCCATCCCTCACACCACCACCAGCATAATTTAAAAAGAAAATGTTAAGTTTTTGTGGAAAAGCCTTCAGAGGCTTCTTTTGCCTACAAGTAACGTCTGAAACATCAGTGTTTTCGTTCTGGGGTGCGGCTATAACAGGAATATGAGAGGTTGGCCTTCACAAACAGACGTTCTCCTCTCACAACTTAGGGCTAGGTGCCTGCTCTAGAAGGCTTTCTCCATTGGCTCAGTTTAGGAGGCAGGTCCATACTCGCTTCAGCATCTGGGCTCCAGCATTCCGTGGAGATCGCCGTGTGTCTTGGCATCCATCTTCCCCTGGATCCAGGAGGTTCCCACTGCAGGGGTCCCAGGTCCAGAGGATGTGCTCCACTCCCGCCTCTTCTTTCCTGATGGTCCGGAGACCCCTCTCCTCTCATCACCTCTCTCTCCTCTAATCTCTTGTAGTAAAATGAAAGGTGATGCCGGCCACACCCCGAGGAAACTCCCTTTCAACTGATTGGCTGATCATGGTGGTAATTATATGAGACCTCATCATGGAGGTGATTGTATCAGATCACAACAAGGCGGATGACTACCTCATTACATGACTGCGAAACCGCTGAGAATCACGGCCCAGCCAAGATGACACATACTATTGGGGGCCATCATTTAGACCCTGACACTCAGCATACCCTATGAGGTCCCAACTAAACCCTCCAACTTTATCTCACGTTCTTCTACCTACTCATATATAACTCCAGACACATGGAAATGGTCTTCCATGTTCAAATTACATGTCCTTTAAAGTACTCACGAGCAAAGATGTCACTTTGAGGACTAAGATGTGACTGACCCAATCCCTAGCATTTTGGATAGCCTCATTGTCATGTGAAAGTTGGACAGTGAATAAGGAAGACCATAGAAGAATGGATGCATTTGAGATAGAGTGTTCGAGACAAATATTGAAGTACCATGGACTGCTACAAGAACAAACAAATCTGTGTTGGAAGAAGTGCAGCCAGATGCTCCTTTAAAGTCAGGACGGCCAGACTTGGAACATATTATCAGAAGGGACCAGTCTCTGGAGAAGGGCATCATACTAGGTAAAGTGGAGGGTCCGTGAAAGAGAGAGACCCCTAATGAGATGGTTTGGCACAGTGGCATCAACAATGGGCTGAAATTTGACAATTGTGAGGACAGCGCAGGACTGGCCAGTGTTTCATTCTGTTGTGTACAAGGTCACTGAGTCGGAACCAACTCAACAGCACCTAACAACACAACCTAAAACCCCAGCCATCGAGTCAATTCTGACCCATAGCTACCCCGTATAGGGGATCCTAGACTGTAAATCTTTACAGGAGACAAAAGTCCCAACTTTCTACTGAGGAGTGGTGGTGGGCTTGGATTGCTAACCTGTAATTAGCAGTCTAACGTTTATCCTACAGCGCCACTAAAATCCTCCATGATAAATTTGTTTCCGTCTACCTAGAGCCTCATCTCACACTGCTCCCTGCCTGACTCTTGGAACATACACCATACCTGCCTTCTTTCTCATCTGTTGTTGTATAGAAGGATGCCATGTTTTCTCCTTCTCCAAACAGGTCCTCTCTTATCTTTCAGCTACCAGTCAGAAGATTCCTTAAGTTGTCTGCATTATATGCTGGAAGAATACATGGCCTTATCCCCTATTTAAGTGGCTCTGGTGGAGCAATATAGAGCACTGGTAGGTTAGTGGAGTGAGCATCAGGCTTTTAGTTACAAGGTTGGTGGTTCAAATCCACAAGTCACTCCACAAAAGAAAGCTCTTTGCTTCAGCAAACACCCTGTGGAGTTATTCTATTCTGCTATGTGGTCACTTAGTTGACACTTAATGTCACATATGAAGGAACTTCAAAACGTTTGTTTAAAAAAATGGAATGAAAAGATCATAGGATTTTTCCATAAACTTCTTGAAAACCCCTGGTATTTGGGAGATGACATAATGTAGTGGTTACAACCAATGATTACTTACTGAGCTGGGTCCTTGTACAGTTAACCTGTTTCTGTTTTGGTATCCCAGCTATAAAGCTAGATACTAAACGAAGATCATAAGGCAAGACCTCAAGTACACATGTCATACTTCCTTGCTTAATGGGTTGTTACTAGTACTGGTGTGACGCTGTGGGCTGTGTCAGACTGCAAGATCCTTTGAACTTCAAGGTCCCTGATTCAAGCTCACCACCTGTTCCTTGGAAACCTTATACAGGGTCGCAATGGGTCGGAATCGACCCGACAGCACTTAATAACAACAAACACGTTGTTCCCAGATGTTCCCTGGGGCTCTAGCCTAGGAACTATCAGCCTGGTTTATCGCTGTAGGTGGCGGTGTGAGGTGCCGTACAGGCGGTCCCGACTCACAGCGACCCCATGCACAACAGAACCCAACACTGCCAGGTCTTCCCTACGATTGAGTCCATTGCTGCTGCCACTGTGTTAATCCATCTTGTTGGAGATTTCTTTTTCGCTGATCCTCCACTTGACCAAGCAGCAGGTATAAGATTTAAAAACTAAAAATAAAAACCGTCAACAACTGGGGTCTCGCTTTTGCCCTTTAAGCTGACCGATCTCGGGCAAATCACTCAACCCAACCGCCTGTTTGCCCCTTGTGCACGCGGGTGGGCAGGAGAGGTCTCAGTTCGCGCAGCAGTCAGTAAGCACGCGGCGCACCTGCAATGACGTCCCGCAGGGCCGCTTCCCTGCACCCCGTCTGCGGCCCGTGTCTCCCGCCCCTCCAGCACGTCGCGGCCGGCGCACCCCCCCTGCCGCCCCCCTCCTCTGCGCCCTTGAACCCGGATCCCTCCCGGTTCCCGGCGTAGGAGCTCGGGCCCCGTTCGCCTCCCTCCAAGTGCCCCTTCCTTCCCGGTCCGGACGGACGCACTTCCGGCGGACGTGCGTAAGGCGGCCCAAGGAAACGGAAGTGAGTGGTGGGGTTGGTGGAGGGCAACGGGCCTGAGAGGCGGTTCGGAGAACGGATTCAAGATGGTGAGTGAGTTCCCGGGTGGCCCCGCTTCCTGGTGGTTCTGACCGGGGCCTGGCTAGACCTCGGCGGCTGCCTCCTAGCCCGTCCTCAACGCCAGCAGAGGTCGAGGCGGGCTTCGGGCACCCTGATCCGCCGAGTCATGGGTGGGGGGATGTCCGCGGCTCCTGTTTGCCCAGCAGCTGCCGGCCCAAGCGCACTGGTGTATGCCTGGGGGAGCACCTCGGGAAACCCTACCCCAAACCAGACCCACTGCCGGCGGGCGGATTCCGACTCCTAGTGTCCCTAATAAGACAGAGACCTGCCCCGCAGGGTTTCCGGCGTTACAGGAGCAGACTGCCCTGTCTCTCCCCCACGGGGCGGCTGGTGGATTTGAACCTCTGGTCTAGCAATTAGCAGCCCAGCGCCTAGCCTACTGCGTCAGCGCCCGCAAACTCCCCTCCCCCCGGACCTCCGCAGAGCCGCGGGAATGGAAGGCGAGGGGCTTCGGTGGGAGGGAGCGTTGGGGAACCGCGTCAACAACCAACCCACAACTAGGGGCCCCGTTTGTAAAACTCAGCTGGTTACAAACATCATCCAGGCCTTGGGGGCGCGACGGGGTAAGCGCTGGGCTGTTAACCAAACCCACCCGCCATTCTGCGGGAGAAAGGCCTGGCGATCTTCTTCCGTAAAGTTAACAGACTTAGAAATTAGAGGTGCTGTAGGACAGGTCCACACCCGGTGAGTCGGAAGGAGGAAGATCCAGAGTTCTGATATCTGGGAAAGGTCTCCATTGCCACTTCCTGAAATCGAGACTTGCAGTCCCCCCTCCACGGAGCCCCGGTGGCGCAGTGGTTAAGCGCGCTACTACTAACCCAAAGGTCGGCAGGTGGAACCTCTTGGGGAGAAAGTTGTAATAGTCTTAGATGTATACAGCCTCAGAAACTATTGCCTTGTAGGATTGCTGTGAGTCAGAATCTGTTTGAGGGCAATGGGGTTTGTTCATCTAAACCTAGAAGGCTCCCGGGTGTTACATACTTTGCCAGTCTATACAAAGAAGCCTTATAAACTCTCAGATGTGGCTCATGCTGCTTAGATGTTCAGTGATGTGTGGTGGTTTGGGTTTATTGTGTTTGCAGGCCTCCCTCGTACTGTATATTGCCTTCCCTGTCAACCAAGTTAGGAGGCTTGGTGGCACCATGGGTTAGGTGTTGGGCTACCAACTGCGATATGGGCGTTTCGAACCTACCAGGAGCTCCGTGGGAGAAAGCTGAGGCAGTTTAGCTCCATTTAGATTGACAATCTTGGAAACCCTGTGTAGGGTCTCAGTGAGTCAGAAATCAAGGTAGTGGACTTGATTCTACCCAAGTTAGCAATGGGGCCCTGGTGTGGTGTTGTAGAGTAAGCACTTGACTACTAAGCACAAGACCATCTGTTAAAACCTACCCAAGCCACTCATGGAAACCTTATACAGAGTCGCTATGAGTCAGAAGCAATTGGATGGCACTTACCAACATGTTACTATTGCAACTTAATAGAACTCTCAGGTGTGGACCCTTAAACATCATTACAGGACATTGTTTGAACCTGTGTTATATTATGTGTCATGGAGTTGGTTCTGACTCATAACAACCCTTTAAGGGAACAGAAAGCCTTATCTTTCTCCCATGGACTAGGTAGTAGTTTCGAACTGCTGACGGTAAGATTAGCAGCCCAACGTGTAGCCACTACGCTACCAGAGCTGCTTATTGGAACCTAGAGGTCAGAGTTCTGTTCTCTGTGCACAAAGAAACTTTCCTTCGCTCATCATATCGTGAAACTTTGTTTGCTAGGAGGAGAGTGTTCAGGTCGGAAAGTATCAGGAGATACGTTGAGAAAGGTATCATTTTACAGCTCTCATCTCAGTCTTGTGGTTCAAAGCAACCTTGTGGTTGAGTGCGTCTCCCAACAGCACCACACCAGGACTGCTGATTCTAAATTACCTGTGGCTGTTTTACTTTTTCCTGCAGACTTGCAGGGCTGTTGTATGTGGACAAGTGATTTAAAGTCAGTGTCCTGTTCTTTATCTCTTGAAACACCCCTTGTTAAAGTGCCGCGCAGTCGATTCGGACTTGCAGCGAAGTGCTTGAAACAGCTCGTTAGAGTTGCTTGTGTAGTGTATCTTCATTGGACTGAGCCTGTGAGGTCAGGCTGTGTATCTTCACCCAGCAGAGACCCTGGCGCATGGAACCCGTTCCTACTCATAGTGACCCTCAAGGACAGGGTACAACTGCCCACTGGGTTTCCCAGGCGGTACATGACAGCCTCATATTTCGCTCTCAGAGCGGCTGGTGAGTTCTTTGTTGACTGAAAACTTGCTAGTGTAAATGAATGAATGGGGTTTACTGTGAGCCTTTGTTTTACATTCTCTTGATTAGATGCATTTATTTTGTACAATTGGTGTCCTTTCTACTCTTCAGCCATTGCATCACTTTTCAGTCCTATTTCCTGGTTCCATCTGCTCCCCAGGGAGCGATACTCCTTGGGATTGCCCCTCACATTGGATCTGCCTAGGTTTACTAGTCTCCAAAGACGACCCAACAGCGGACCTGCCGCCCCATAACCCTCCTGAGCTCCCTGTGATTTCAGAATACGCCTCATTTTTTAGCTTCTGTCTCAGTCCTGCACTTACTGAGCTGTCATCCCAGGCCACCTCTAACTCCTTCACTTCTACGTGCCCACCTTCACTTCTATGTACCCACCTTCACTTCTGTGTGCCCACCTTCACTTTTACGTGCCCACCTTCACTTCTATGTGACCACATTCACTTCTACGTACCCACCTTCACTTCTACGTACCCACCTTCACTTCTGTGTGCCCACCTTCACTTTTACGTGCCCACCTTCACTTCTACGTGACCACCTTCACTTCTACGTACCCACCTTCACTTCTGTGTGCCCACCTTCACTTCTACGTGCCCACCTTCATGTCTACGTACCCACCTTCACTTCTGCGTGCCCACCTTCACTTCTGCGTGCCCACCTTCACTTCTACGTGCCCACCTTCACTTCTACGTGCCCACCTTCACTTCTACGTGCCCACCTTCACTTCTACGTGCCCACCTTCACTTCTATGTACCCATCTTCACTTCTGTGTGCCCACCTTCACCAGCCTCCTCTTGCTGCTGGCCTGGAAAGCCTTCCTGCCTGAGGTCAGCTCAGGAATCCTTTCCACTCCACCTTCAGACTTGGTGTTAGCCCTCGTTCCACGTACAGCCTCTGCCACCACTATGCTTACCAAGAGGCCTGATCATGCTCACTGCCATCGTCAGTTCTGACCCTCTCAACCCTGGAGGTCAGAGGAGAACTGCCCCGTAGGGTTTCGGAGACCGCCACCTCGTTCTCCCGTGGTGCCCGCTGCTGAGACTCAGCATCACAGTGTGCACCGGGCTGCTCCTTTCTTCTCTCTGCAGCCTTGTTCTCTGCACAGGTGTTACGTTTGCGTTGGGCTATTGTTTTGAATGTGTGACCGGCTTATCATTGTGCCTCCCTTGTGTTGTAGAATGCCAGAGGACTTGGATCCCAGCTCAAAGACAGCATTCCTGTGACTGAGCTTTCCGCAAGTGGACCTTTTGAAAGCCACGACCTTCTTCGGAAAGGGTAAGGGGGATGGGGCACTGACTTGGTTACAGTGGTATGGTTGTGTGGTTTCGTTGGTTCCTCCAGGCTCTGTCTTTATCTTGGCGTACCCTAAAGGTGCACAGCGCCGGGGAGCTGGTATGTACTCTTCCTTAGGCCAGGGGCGGGGCCAGGGCCGGGCCGGGAGGACGTCTGGGCATCACTCCAGTGGACCGAGCATCTTCACAGAGCAGGGCGTCTGGGAGGATGGAACCTACTAATAGGATGGACTAGGGTTCTTTTTGCTTCTGATAACTTGTAGCACCCTCTGCCTCCTTCCCTCGTTGACTATTGCAATGACTCCTTTCTCTGAGAGACAACAACCCTGGTGGCACTGTGATTAAGCACTGGCCTGCTAACCCCATGCAGTGGTTCAAATCCACCAGCTGCTCCCAGGGAGAACGATCAGTTTTTCGGCCCTGTGGGCTTGCTGTGAGTCAGAATTGACTTCATGGCAGTAGGTGTGGTGTTTTGGTTTTAGTGGAAGGAGGTGCTGTATTGGGGGGGATTCAGAAGTTTGTGGGAAAATTCCATTTTGAAGCCCCCTCATCTGTAACCATTGCATTTGCAGATAAATTTAATTTGTAGTATCACTAAATTCATAGATTAGCTGGTAACCAAGTGCTAATAATTCCCCTCCCTTGAAATGCTCCGTTGTGTACCTCATTAGATTGTACAATTGCTGCGTGCAGCTCATGGTCACATTCCATGTTTAGGATGGGGCTCCAGTACTCGGTTCTTGCAGGACTTCTGAGGTGTCTGTCAGCCCTGAAACCCTGGCTGGGAGCCCGAGTGGTAGAAAGCACGGGTGTACTTCCAGCTAAGCATCACCCAACAGCACTGTGCCGTAGTCTCTGCTCAACATGCGCTCGTATTCTTGTGAAGTTCTGTGGCATCAGTTCACTTCCTGTTGTGTAGTGCCCTCCTGAGTAGGCTCACATTTGATTCAGTTTTACATGTATATAGTATAATCTGCATCTGACTGGAGTGATAAACATGCACTAACTGAGTTTCTTACAGAGAATATGTCAAACCAGTGTTTGGAGGTTTCTCCCTCGTGACTTACAGTCTGTGGCCACCAGGATTTATATTAGATAATATTTTTTTAAATCATATAGTAAATTTGACTTCTTTTCTTCTCGTTGTTATTTTTTGTGTATCATTCCCTGAATTTGAACACTCACAGACTTCTAAATCCCCCACCACGATCCCATCACCTCCCCCCAAGAAGCACGAAACAACCCCTGTGTGATACACCCATGATCAATGCAGTGTAGAGCTCTGCGTGATATATAACCTCCGTTTTCCATGTTGCCTTTCAGTTTTTCCTGTGTAAAAAATGAACTTTTGCCCAGCCATCCTCTGGAATTATCAGAAAAAAATGTGAGTATGTTATTCTATTCCTGTGTCTTTTTGAGCCTTCTGGTTGGAAGTTGAGCTCTGGTAGCATAGTAGCTTTTACGTTGGGCTGCTAACCACAAGCTCAGCAGTTCTAATCCACCAGCTGCTGTGCAGCAGAAAGCATAGACTTTCTGCTCCTGTAAAGCTTACGGCCTTGGAAACCCTAGACAGGGTTGTTATCGGTTGGAACTGACTGGACAGCACGCAACAATAGGAAGCTACTTTGAGTGATAATTAACTTGTGGTTTCATTTTTATTAAAACAATCTAGTGCTAAGAAGGAGACCTAGTGTGGCTCTGTAGGATAAGCACT